CATGGCATCACGATGGCAAGCAGAAAAGAAACTCCAGCTCCATTTTCTTTTCAACCAGGTGAGGTATTTCTTTGCGGTGAGGTTTAAAATTCACTTGATATAATTCCCTGAATTTTTCAATTGCCGGAAAAATCAGGACAAGATACGACTTTGATCCTCAAGATGTGAACGCCGGCGCTTGGTGTGCAACATCGTGCTTTGGATGGAAATCCTACGTGCTTCCGTTACACAAGGCTGTGGAGGAGAATCGCACAGTTCCTCGGACATGACGATGAAGCAGGGCCACGAGGGCTACGAGGGCCACGAGGGCCACGAGTGGGGTGGGCTTCTGGTTGGGGTTATGGGTGCAATCATGGTTATAAGCCCTGATATATATATATATATTATTGTAAATTTATGTTCTACACATATGTTATTCATAGATACATATAAATGTTATGTGGATATTATATATGTAATATAGATCTATATACACATGTCCTATATTCTATATACATACACGCACGCACAATACATATATGTATATACGCAAGACACACACACAGACATATATATACACATATAATCATATATATATATATATCTACATACACGTATGAAATAATAAGTATATATATATAGATTTAGACAACAAACACAGAGATTCTCTGAGATACGTTACGTATATGTATGTTGTACCTGTATTTGTTATACAGATATATGTTATATGTGAACATGTAATAATATATATATACATGGTTTACGCATGTTAGATATTATATGTATGTATATATATATATATATATATGTAGATATGTTATATACAACACACACATATTCATATATACATACGGTTACACATGCTTGAGCTATGGCAAAATACGCACTTACAAACTGGCACTGCACCCCCCAAGTAGGGCGACTGAGGTTCGGCGAAAGGTTTACTCACCTGGTTTACTGCTATGACCAGTTCACAGACGAACAGAGCCGAAATTGTCCATGAATTTGCTGTAGATGATATCTGTGGATTTTCCATGGAGAAGTGTGGGTTAGCTGGAAACTACGGCGACATGATCTGGCCCTGAATCGAGCAACTGACTCAATATTCAGGGTTATCAATTGTGACAATCATTGCTGTTCTGAATCCCAAAAACCTTGCTGGTCCGAATCTGTGCAGAATCGCGACTTGTCGCTTGTTGCTCGGAATCCTGCGAGCCTTGATGCTTAGAATCCCAAAAGCATTGCTTGTTGGGAAATCCTCCCAAAAATATGGCAAGCAATCCCAGTATCCATGATGGTAATCCTGCAACTGTTTCTCGCAAAAAAAATCCCAAAGACTTCGAATTGTCGGAAACCATTCATTATTGTAAGTCGATATACATAGTCCAAATAACCATTCTGTTGGTTGCGTCCCGCCTAAACTCACCATGGTTTTTCTCGTGCCGCCGCTGAGGACATGATTCTTGTGCTCTTAGAGTTTGGTGCCGATCCCATGTTGCGAGATGGTCGCTTGGGAGCACATTGATCCCCGTTCGTGGGGTGATTTAGGGGGAGCTGTTCGAAGAACCTCTTCAGGTTCAGTGGAGTTGAGACGCTTAAATTCGAGCTGGACACACCAGGAGATATTGTGGCTTTAGTTTAGACCATTTCGATGATGTTTTACTGATTCATTTGTATGGCTCAAACTGGGAGCAAAAGATTCTATATAATAAGACTCAAACGATCTTCGTTACGTCCAGGGATTTTAAAGTTTGATCCCCAAATCATCCGACCCGTAGCCCCATGAGCGGGGCGGACGATGCAAATCCAATTATTTGCGTGTGAGCATCCATTAGATTTCCTCCGCTTTTCCTGAAATGAATTTGCTGATGGGTGAATAGATGTTGTAACTAGGCAGGATTATGTTCTGAAGCTGTGCCTTTGGCGGTCATGTTTTCTAGATGGCTCTTTCGGAGTAGGGGTCAAAGCTCCAGACTCCAGACCCATTGAGAGAGATGAAGGCACTGGGCATTTTACGATCAAACCATCCAACTTGTTTTGGGTTTTTGTTGGGTAAACACTACGTACACTACTGGTACAGTATTTGTTTGGTGTTTATTGCTCAGTTCCATCCCCTTTAGCTTTGCCCTGGTTCCAGCAGCTGGTTCTTTCGACCCGAAAGTGGATGGTCAGAGCCACTTTGATCTGGAACCATGGGAAAGTCTTACTGTAAATCTTTAGGACATCCTTAGCTCAAGATTACCAGAAATTGATGATTTAAATACTAGCCGCCCTCGCTCTCAGATTCAGTGGTGAGCTAAACACGCATAAACTTCAGGAATCTGCAGAATCCCCTGGGTCAACTTGGGCTCAGAATGGGATGGTTTAAGTCCACATCACTACTGTAACACCTGAGATTCCCTGGGCCATGAATTTTCACAATTTTTGACCGATTCTCTTTCTTGGTGCTTGATATCCCCATGTTTGTTGCGTAATTCCAGATGTTTTGCCAATTTTGCTGGGTCAATCCAGTTTTTCTGCAACTGGTGGCGACCATCTCCAGGTAAAGGGCGCAACGCGTACTACCACGTCCGCTCCGATGCGCAGCGTATTCAAATGCAGATGCAACACCTGAAGATACGCGAAGAAGGCAGCTTGAAACTGTCTGAGTGAAGGAGCACAATTCCAAAATGGGTGTGTCTGAAAATGGCGGATTTGTTCAATGATTTGACGACCCGTCAAAAACTGGTCTCAACACATTTCAAAACGGGTCAAACTAAACATGTGAGATATGAGTCAGAATTAGTTTAAAGTTGGTTTGAAATTATTCAGAATGGGTCAAGATGATGGTTCACATTGAAGCTTTATAAGCAGCAAAACTGCCCGGTGAATTCAATCATGCACACAATCAAGACTAGCAACCGGGGCAGCTTCTGCAAGAACCCCTGTGTGCGATGTTTGACTTGAGGTCTTTGATTTTTGATCCCCAGTGGTCTTAGATTTTTTTTGGTTTCCTTGTTTTCTGTAGGTTTTCTCTAGGTTTCTAATTGTTTCTGGCTCAGTCCAATTGAAAACGGGTTCGTTTCTGGAATTCTCAGACGCTCAAACCGAGTGAGTGAGAATGTGGGTGGACGGGATTGCAGAAGCTGATTCCTGCTGCTCGGGAATTGATGGGTGCATGGCGGCGAAGCCTGATTGCTTCTAGGTACGGGCTGTTCATTATGGGTATGGGTCAATACTATCGCCCCGAAAAAGGCTACAACCGACCTTATATAATTGAGCAGAATCCCTAGGATGGGGGATGAGAGAGCTTTGAAATTGCTGTATTGATACCCTGTACCAGGACCAAGTGAACAGAACGATTTCTTGACCCAGACTCATGTGCTGTTCTTTAGATAATTTGGAAAGCTATGGAAAGCAGTTTTTGTTGCTGGCTGGACCTTTGTCCAATAGAGGAACGTGTCAGAAATCTTGCTACACAATGACATTTTCATATCCTGTTCCAGGAGTGCAAGGTGAGCCATCCAAGTGTTGAGAGTGACAGTAAGTCCCCAGTGGCTTGATGATTTCGCAACGCATGAATCTGTCACATCCCACTAGATATGTATGCATGTTTGTCTGTCTCCTCATGTTTGTATGTAATGTAATAGTAATGTAATGTAATGGACCGGAAAGGAATGGAATCGAATCGAATGCAATGTAATGTAGCGTAACAGCATATATAACATGTAACGTACCGTAACGCAACCTACCGTAACGCAACGTAATGTAACGTAACGTAATGTAAGTAATGTAACGCAACGTACGTAATGTAACGCAACGCAACGTAACCCCCTGGTAATGTAATGTAATTGAATGCAATGCAAGGCAATTTAATGTAATGTAATGTAGTGTGATGCAATGTAATGCAATGCAATGCAGTGTAATGCCATGCAATGCAACCCAATGGATTTATGTATGTATGTATGTATGGATGGATGGATGGATGGATGGATGTAGGGATGTATGGTTGTAGGGATGTAATGTATGTAAAAAATGTAATGTCATGTAATGTAATGTATGTAAATGTATGTAAATGCATGTAAATGTATGTAAATGTATGTAGATGTATGTAATGGTATGTAAATGTATGTAATGGTATGTAAATGTATGTAAATGTATGTAAATGTATGTAAATGGTATGTAAATGGTATGTAATGGTATGTAAATGTATGTAAATGTATGTAAATGTATGTAATGGTATGTAAATGTATGTAATGGTATGTAAATGTATGTAAATGTATGTAAATGTATGTAAATGTATGTAATGGTTTGTAAATGTATGTAAATGATTGTAAATGTATGCAATGGGGTGTAAATGTATGTAAATCGTATGTAAATGTATGTAATGGTATGTAAATGTATGTAAATGTATGTAATGGTATGTAAATGTATGTAAATGTACGTAAATGTATGTAATGGTATGTAAATGTATGTAAATGTATGTAAATGTATGTAAATGTATGTAAATGTATGTAAATATATGTAAATGTATGTAAATATATGTAATGGTATGTAAATGTATGTAAATGTATGTAAATGTATGTAAATGTATACAAAATGTACGTAAATGTATGTAATGGTATGTAAATGTATGTAAATGTATGCAATGGGGTGTAAATGTATGTAAATCGTATGTAAATGTATGTAATGGTATGTAAATGTATGTAATGGTATGTAAATGTATGTAAATGTACTTAAATGTATGTAATGGTATGTAAATGTATGTAATGGTATGTAAATGTATGTAAATGTATGTAAATGTATGTAAATGTATGATCTCATGTTTTACCTGAGTGGCGCCTAGAGCTTTCTGGGTCAAGTGAGTGTATGGCCAATCACCCCCGTGTTCTTTCACTCGGTTTTGCTGGGGGCGGCATATCATCCTTGCTGTTTAGCCTGCTTCACGATTTTGCCAGCACTGTCCATACAGTTCCTGAACCATTGCCAGCTATACCTCAACTGGATTGCAATTGCCCTGTGATACTGGGCTTCTCAGATCTATCTGAACGAGAGCTTTGCATTTTGGGCCTTGGCATTTTCATTGGGCTGTTTGTACTTCCATTTTTGGAGCTTTTGTTGACCTTGCGGCAAGCGTGGACTATCTGGCTGAGATCTAGGTTGATTACTCCCAACTCCAAGCACACCTTGTATCGGGATATCTAGCTGGGTGTATGCGCCGCTCTACCTCATCTACCTCCACTGTTGCTACTCTAGAGGTTCGTGTAGTTGAGCTAGAAAGAGAGGTTGCATCGCTTCGCCAAGCTTTGCGAGCCGTGGAAGCTCGCCTTTCCTCAGCTGAATCAATTGCCGGATTTGAGTTAGTTGACGAGCCTCCGTCACCCGCTGCTGACCAGGCAACTTCGGCGACTTCGGGCCGCCCTGCTCCACGTGATCAAGGTGGTGCTCAGGCTGTTCGTTTTGCCAAGCTGCTTGGCATCGGGAATTGGCTGCGCAATTCGCTTGCTGGCCAGCGCAGAGGCAAGTCTGGGAGGGCTGAGTTGAAAGAGAGATCTGAGGTGTATTTAGTAGCTCGATCTGCTAGGGGCACCGTTTTTGATCCAGTGCGCATTTACACATCCTGGTCAGAAGCTGAGAAGGTTGTGCGAGACCAAGGAGGATTCAAGCAGAGCCTGTTTGTGGGCTTACCCACTTGGGAGGACGCTGTTTGCTGTGCTGAGGAAGCCGGATTGACCGTCCCAGCTCAGCCTTTTGATGGCTAATCCTCAAGAACTTGCGGAGCTCCATCATCAGGAGCTCAGGTCGGCCTTGGTGAATCAAGAGAATTTCACTGCTGATCCAGAATACTCTTTAGGACTTTTCACAGTGCCACCTAGTACTGAAGTTGAAGAGTCAAAGTTTTGTATTATTTTGATTTCGGAGGTGGACTCCAAATTTTTGGTTGCTGTTCCTGGTGCCGCCTGGCACCGTACTGTTGCTCTACGTTTGTTGCCGCCAAAGAGCCTGATCAAACCACTCAGTGTTGCTGTTGCTGCCTGCACTTTCGAAGATCGGATTACCAGCCTGGAAGGGGTGTTTACTCGCTGCTGGGTTGGCTATCTGTCCCCTACCTTTGAAGCATGTGTCTCCATCTTGCAAGATCTAGACGGGGGAGAGGCGGTGGGATTTTGGACCGAAGACGAAAGCCTCCAAGTTCTACCCTTCGCAGACGGACTTGTGTCAGTTGCCGACGACAAGTTCTCCTTCCTCACTGCCGAATCAGCCCATCATCCTGCAGAAGGAGACGAATCTCATGGAAAGCGATTGGCAGCTTTGGAGGCCAGTCTCGAAGGCATTCAAGAGAGCCTCCGGGTTATCATCGATGGTCAACCTTTGTCTTCCAGAAGCCAGGCTGCTTCAGATGTGAAAGCTGCCGCAAAGACGCCTGTGGCTCCTCCGGCCTATCCTGGGCTGGATCCGAGCGTAGTCCATTCAGCATTGGCCAGCGGGGTGACTCCAGATGCCCTTCGGGCTATGAGTCAGATGGTTCAAAAGACTCCAAGCAAGTTGGGCGATTTTCCGAAGAAGAACGTGGCTGCTCATCTGGATGTGTTAGGAGAGACAGACGGAGAAGAGAAAGAAGAGCCTCCAGGGCTATCAGCCTCTGGAGATCCTGTTCAAGCTCTGCCTGCCGATCCAGTGGCTGCAGCTCTGGTGCGACTGACCAGCATAGCCGAAGCTCTTGCTGGAAAGAAGAAAGCCAAGAATCTGGAGGAGATGTTGGACGATACTGCTGGCTACGAAGTGGGAGCCAGTTCCAGTTCCGGTTTGGGGACTCACAGGAGACAAGCTGCCATCCTGACAGCGCTGAAGAAGAGCTTGGTCGAGCAGCCTGGAGAGCTCTACCAGGTGATCGAAAAGAAGATGCTCGAAGACTTTGGGTCTCGCGAGCTCATGCCCGGGGAGCCTCCACGTCAGGGCAGCTTCCGGGGTTGGCTGGAGCATCGCAGCCACATTCCCAACATAGCGGCCACGGTGAGAATTTCATGGTGCGTTGCTGGGGCGCTGGATGCCATACGCTGTGGAAAGGTCCAAGAGGGGCAGACTCGCCTCGCTCTTCTGTTGGCGATGTTGGATCAAGTAGCTTGCGACAGGGGGCAGTGGTTGATTGCCTCGGAGCTAGCTCTAGAAGCGCCTCCACCTTTTTCTTCCTTTGCTCGACATGCAGCTCCCGATTTCCAAGAAGCTCCTCGCACAAAGTTGCTCGACAGCCGCTGGGTAGATGCAGTGATGTATCGCGTGAAGGAGCTGGACGAGTATGCCGAGCGGAAAGCGAAACTGGGCAAGTCGCGAAAAGGAGGTGGTGGCAACCAAGAGGATGTCGAGGCAGACCCCAAGCCGAAGAAGAAGGCAGGAAAAGGAAAAGATGGGAAAGGCAACAAGACGGAGCAGCAGCCCGCTGCTCCCAGCAACTGAAAGTGGATGATCAGTCTTTGAGTTCCTCCAGCTCGCAGCGTTTGAAGCCTGCGTCTGAAGGACCCAGCTCGAGCCAGCAGCAACAGTCTCAGCAATCCGTGCCGAGAGTCCCTGGAGCTAGAGCCAGCACAGTTAGGGTTCAAGCCTGGTGGGACAGTGCATGTCGAAGCCTCTTGCAGACGTCAGGAAGCTTGAAATCATTTTTCAAATCCCTGTTCCGGAAACCAGTCACATCCTTGACGTCGAGGAGTACGGTTA